CTCTTAAACTTTGTCATATAGTGATTAGCTGGGTAACACTTATGAAGTATTTTGAATGAAACTTCTTTGACCTTATTTGTCACAAAATACTTATTAGGAATGGTCCATACTCTTTCCCAACTGATGTCAGTGACAAAGGAATTCCAATAAAAAATCACATAAGGAACAGATAAGGATTCTCTCTGAAATAAAGCACGAATATTCCTATTACTATTTTTATGCTCAATAAGACAAACTTTTCCTACGTATGTGTTCACAGGGTCGGGAGGAGAAATAGGCGGTACAACTGGTAGAACATCTTTAAAAAGCATTCTGACACCCATAGGTATTGCAGCAAACAGTATGGCATATTCTTTGGGAGTTGCCGGAAATTTATATGTGTTTAGGAGTTCTGTGTAAGACATAAGCTGTCCATTAGTATTATACAACTGATTCACAAAAATGATCTGTTTCTCAACCCAATTAGAGAAAAACAATGACTTATTTTTATACACTATGTTCCTGTTATTCCAGATCAAGTATGTATGGGGAGTAAAATTATGTTTATAAATCAGTGACCAGGCTAAAAGAACTTGTTTGTGAAACATTGAAAGTTTTTCTGGAAGCTTTCCTACATTGTAGTCACAACCCAGGATAAAAGTTAGACCACCAAATTTAGAGAAGATATAGTGAGGAATAAAATTCCAAATGGAGACAGGATTTTTAAGAAAATGTTTTGCCCAGTTAATTTTAAATGTGTTGTTTAAGGTAGTGAAGTCCAAGATATTGAGTCCTCCATGTTGATAGTCGTTCATTATTACACTCTTTCTAATGTAATGTGTTTTGTTTTTCCACAAGAAGTTGAAGAGCATTCGGTCAATCTCCCCACAAGTTCTGTTGTCCACATGCAGAGATATGGCAGCATAAGTCAGGCGAGACAAACCTTCTGCTTTGGAGAGCAACACTCGTCCTCTTAAACTTAAATCTCTTTGTAACCACTGATTTAACTTAGATTGGTTTTTTTTAATTATTGGAGAGAAATTAGAGGTAATTCTGGTTTTTTGATCTTTACAGATAATCAAGCCTAAATATGTTACTTCGTGTTGAATAGCTATATTACAAATACTATGATCATTACAATTGTTGATAGGTAATAACTGACATTTGTTTAAATTTAATATGAATCCAGAAGCTTTTGAGAAGTCATCTAAAATTTTCAGGGCAATTGACACCTGATTAGCATTTTTAAGAAAATTTGTGGTATCATCTGCCAGTTGGCTGATGACAACCTCTCTGTTTGCTATGTTTATACCTTTCATAGGACTATTAGCAATATAAGAGGCGAGAATTTGGGTACAAAGTAAAAAAAGATAAGGGCTGATGGGGCACCCTTGGCGTACACCTCGATTCAGGCAAAAACGAGATGTGGTGCCATTTTTCATTCTGATAGAGCTATTTGCGCCAGAGTATAAAGTTTTGATGGCGTTGCAGAAGAAATCACCTAAGCCAAATTTCCTGAGTGAGAGAAATATAAATTCATGCTCAATAGAGTCAAAAGCTTTGTAGAAGTCAAGGAAAAGGATAAATGAATCATCAAGGATTAGGTCAGAGTAGTCCAGGATATCTAAGACGAGTCTAATATTATTGGAGATGTGCCTTTTTGTCATAAATCCCGATTGTGTCTCATCTATAACATCATCCAAAACATCTTTAATTCTCCTGGCCAGCAATAGAGCTAGAATTTTATAATCATTATTTAGGAGGCTTACTGGCCTCCAATTATCTATGGAAAGTAAGTCCTTCTTAGGTTTAGGAATTAGAGTAATGAGTCCTTGTGTGAGGGTGGGTGGAAGAGTGCCCTTTTCAATGCTTTCGTTATAAACCTGTAACAGAAATGGTGCTAACTGGGAAGAGAACATTTTATAAAATTCTGCTACCAAGCCATCTGTGCCTGGAGACTTGTTGTTCTTAAGAAGATTAATGGAGTCCAGTATCTCTTTTTCAGTGAACGAACTGTCACAATAAAGCCTATCTGCAGTTTTAATTACTCTTATATTATTTACAGAGTCGATGAACTGAGTAGCAACATTTGCCTTATATTTTGATTCATACAACTTTGAGTAAAATTTACAGCAAAATTGAGAGAGGGTTTTGGCATCATTAGTGATCGTACCATTAATGTTCAACTGATGGATGGTATTGGATTTAGATCTAGATTTTTCTAAACGGAAAAAATAAGCAGAGTTCTGTTCTCCTTCCTCTATCCATTTTTTTCTTGAACGAACAAAAGCACCTTCAGCTTTCTGGCGATAAAGCTCGTCAAGTTTAGAATGAAGGGTCCTAAGTTGCAATTTATCCTCCTCTGAGACTTCATCTGGTGGCAGTTGATATATTGATGAAATTTGAACAATTAATTTGTCTTCCTCTTCTGATCTTGCCTTAGCCATTTTTGCCCCATACTGTCTCAAAAATTTACCCGTTTCAAATTTAAAAAGTTCCCAGTTTATACTGTAAGACTTCTCAATATTACCCTTGTTGAAAAAGTGTTTTAACAATCGTGGAACTTCAGCTTTTATAAATGTATGGTTCAAAAGTGAACTATTCAACTTCCAATATGAAGATCTATTAATATATTCAGTAGGAAGAAATTGTAAATTGATGTATATTGCTCTATGGTCAGTGAGTGGCGTTGTGAGGATATTGACCGTAATGCTATCTTTGGACAGATTTTTAGAAATTAACCAAAAATCAATACGTGATTTCCTTGAACCAGAGTGGTTACTCCATGTAAATGACATATCATCAGGAAATTTCTCTCTCCAAATATCAGTTACATTAAATTTATCCATAAATGCTTCCATCCTCAAGTTACTTTTAAAACGTTGTGCTGGGGGCCATCTATCTATAGTATCATTGAGCGATACATTAAAATCTCCGCCTATTAACAAAAGTGAGCTAGGATATTTAGAAAGCCAAAAAGTAATTCTCGTATCTAATGAGTCAATTAATTTATCATTTTCGGACTTGATATTATAACCATATACATTAACAATTATGAAAATGTAGTGATTGTATTCGACTACCAAACAAATATAATGACCTAAGGAATCACAGTCTGATTGTAGAACAGTACCACCGAAAGAACCTTTGAGAGTTGTGACCCCAGCTGACCTCTCTGAGCCATGCGAATACCAGATATCGTTACCCCACTGGGATTACCAGAAGTTCACGTCAGTGGAAACAGAATGGCTTTCTTGGAAAAAACAGAAATCACTATGACATTTTTTTAGCAAACAAAAATAGAGCTTTACGTTTACAAGATTGTTTTAACCCCCTGGCATTAAGAGAAACAATAGAAAATTACAGTATAGAAAACAGAAACTGAACAATTAGAAATGTGAATAGAACTAATAGATAGTGTTTAATAGAAAAGTAAGTATCAAAAAGGGACCGAGCACTGCATTTATAAAAAAAATTTGGTAAAAGTGTTATAACATTAACTTCTCAATAACCAAAATATCAAATGCATAAAAATAAACAGCAAACATAAGCAGTTGTACTTCCTGGCAGTTTTAACCTTCTTTCTTATTTATCCATTATTCTCCATTTTCATTCTGAGGACGGAAAAACTTCTGTCCCATTCACAAAACCTCGACATCCGACGTAGTAGGCCTTTTTGTTCTCCTTGCGAGCTTGCTTAATAATGGGCCACAGTTTGCTCTGACGATCTCTATCTTCCTTTGAGAGGTCCTCTGCAAACTTCAGGTCACGGTTCTCCTTCAGGTATGGGGCTGTCTTCGCGGCATTCCACAGATCATCTCTGATCCTGCAGGAGACGAACTGGATAATGATAGCTCTGGGCCTGGTGCTGTTTGGGCGTTTAGGGCTGACGCAGTGCACAGTGTCGATAGCTTCCCGTAGACAATTTTTACTTTCAGGCAGCACTGCCTGACAGATCTTAACAGCACCCTTCCATACATCTTCCCGCTCAGCTTCTTTAACACCAAACAGCCTGAGGTTCTGCCGTCTGGAGTTTCGTTCCAGGTCTGTGATTCTCTGCTGGTTGGTATCCACGCGACCTTCCTCTTTAGCGATTTTCTGCTCCAAAGAGCCAACTCTGCCTTTCACATTTCGTATTTCCTCACATGCAAAGTCAGCAGTCTTTCTAATACCAGCAATCTGTAGTGCAAGGTCATCCATCCTTTTATTTATTAGTTTTGACAATGCTTCAACGACATCCACGTTACCTTCCTTGGAGTGCATCGCTTTCTTTGGCGCTGGAGATTGGCTGGGTGTGATGGGTAGAGGTGGAAACTCATCCATCAATTCGTCCGTTATTGTAAGAGGAAGTGAGGCAGCCGCATAATTATGACAGTTGTCAACCAATGAATTCACCAGCGCAGCTGCCTGGTTATCATCTGCCTTGTTAGCATCAGCCATTAGCATTAGTTTTGTTCTGGAACTGCTCGACGGTCTCTTGTTATCCCGGTTAGACATTTTGCCGCTTACTTCTCAAAAACTTGTTCTTTTTTGGTTGAGAAACAAAAGAGCTCAAAAACTCTTGATTTGACGTGATGTTTTTACCTTATTGTAGAGTTACATTTGCAGAGCTCGGCAGTAAGCGTCTACTTACTCAGCCATCTTGGCACCCCCTCTCCGAACACAAAATTACTACTTGCTTGCAGTGATTTAGGTATGTGCTGCCCCCTATTGCCAGGACAAATACACACCAGCACTTTAAGACGCATTACTGCATTAGAGCCCAAGCTGATACCATCTGTTAAGAGGGAAAAGCTTCCATCACATTGGTATTGGGTCCTATTAGAGTACTTTTATGAGTATGAGTACACGCGTATGGCTCCAAAGCTCTAGTCGACACCACAGTATGTGGTCTTGTCCCAAAACCTGATGCTGGTACTGAAATCAGTACATCTCTAGTCTTTATCTAAACTGGTTGTCCTAAAAACCTTAATGTGCTATTAATGCTATTTATTTATGTTTTTTCTATTTTTTTTTTTTAGGTTGCCACCAAACAGACTATCAACGTGTAAGTGTTGTTCTTGGGTTTAACTTTTCCAAAAATCATTATTATTACATTTTATTTATTAGTAAGTAACACATTCTTTTGATATTGTGTTTTCTCATCAGGGTGTTTGCAGCTTTTTCCCACTTTAATTAACAACTTCTGCCTTTGGTTCCCTCACCATCGACGAGTGATTAAAGACATCTGGTGCTCTAACAGAAACAGAAACCAGAGTTGACTTTGCTTTCTTCACACTATGTCAGATAGTATGGGTTAACATGACCTTAAACAATTAAAGTGAAATGCTCGAACTTTATCAATGTCCTTTGCTTTTAAACTAATGTCCTCCCACTGAAAATGTGTGAAGTTTTCTGTAAACACAAAGAAAAAGACAGATTAGAAACAATCTAAGTGGCTCACGCAGAAGAACTAACCCAAAGGTCACGTTCAGCAGAAACAACACCATACAGACACACAGACTTAACCCAAAAACCAACGGGGGACCACATTAGTGAAATATTATTGTATGGTTATTTTCAAATATTCATTTATTTATAAGGTGTGTTCAACATATTTCTTGAACAGTCAAGCTGTAAGGGGATATTATTCCTCAGATTGAGTTATTTAGCCTCCTAGATATGAAGGTGGATTGATTGTGCTGTCTTAACCCATGACCTGCATGTAGCTACATAACAGGCAACATTAAATATTTACTAGGGATGAGCCGGATACTCGCTTCAGACGAGTATCCGGTACAGATAAAACATTTTTGACGAATACGAGCATGAAACGAGTAAAACTCATAAATATCTGTAATCGTGCTGAAGGAATATCCTCATTGTGTAACTCAATTCAATTCAAGTTTATTTATATAGCGCCAAATCACGACAAGAGTCGTCTCAAGGCACTTCACATAATAAACATTCCAATTCATTAAGCCAATCAGAAATAATGTTTCCTATATAAGGAACCCAGCAAATTGCATCGAGTCACTGACTAGTGTCAGTGACTATACAGCAATCCTCATACTAAGCAAGCATTTAGCGACAGTGGAGAGGAAAACTCCCTTTTAACAGGAAGAAACCTCCAGATAATCCTGGCTCAGTATAAGCAGCCATCCTCCACGACTCACTGGGGATGGAGAAGACAGAGCAGACACACACACACACACACACACACACACACACACACACACACACACACACACACACACACACACACACACACACACACACACACACACACACACACACACCAAGCAATGTGTCCATGAGTACACCATGATTGCTTAGTAAATATTCTATTTGGTGAGCGATAAACTTTATTGTATTTATCCTAGTGAATCTATTGTTAAATGGGTAAACTAGTAGTAGCAAATCCAACGTCAAGGAAAGCAAAATTTTATTATCAGGAGAGGGATAAAGTTTAAGTGGTTAGCAGCAGTGTGCTAGACGATGTTTATGAGTTTTGTTTTAAAGCTCGTAAATGAGAATTAAACCAGGGAGCCAACTACCTGACCCTAATTACCTTCTTTTTTAAAGGGGTAACATCATCTAATGCCACACGTAAAGAGGAATTAACATGATGAACTAAGGCATCAATTTGTGAGGGGCTAGAACTGAAAATATTGCCCTCTGCTACGTTCCTCTGAGATGCTGAGGACAGTAAAGATGGAACAGTTGATTTAAAAGATGCAACTGCGTTGTCAGATAGAGACCGACTATAATGAAATTTACTTTCATGTCTCGAGAACTCCGTTATAAAAAACTCAAAGGTTATCAGAAAGTGGTCCGAGAGGACTGGATTATGTGGAAAGATTGTTATTTCCTCACACTCTATGCCATAAGTCAGCACAAGGTCCAATGGATGATGGCAGGAGTGGGTGGAGCTATGTATTCTTTGAGTAAAACCAATTGAGTCTAAGATATTACTAAAGGCTACATTGAGGCAATCATTTTCAATGTCCACATGAATGTTGAAATCCCCCACTACAATGACCTAATCAGTATTTAGCACCAAATCAGATAAAAAATCAGAGATCTGATCCAAAAACTCAGAGTAAGGGCCTGGTGGACGATATAAAACTATAAACAAGAGTGGTTTTACAGTTTTGCAATCTGGATTAGGAAAACTAAGAATAAGATGTTCAAACGAACTGTAACTATTAATTGGTAAGGGACTGATTAATAAGTCTGAATGAAAAATGGTTGCTACTCCTCCTCGCCCTGTACTTCGAGCAATATGATGATTTAAATAATTTGAAGGAGTCGACTCGTTTAAACTAACATAGTCCTCTTGCTGCAGCCAGGATTCTGAGAGAGAGAGCAAAGAGATCTGATTATCACAAATCAAATCTTCACTTGAGTGGACGTTGTGAAACTTTTATTGCAGAACATGCATTCTTCATTCTCCAACTCATGAGCTGGCTGCAACAGCCAGTCACTACTGCCTCCTGGTGGCGGGTAGTTGAAATACACCACCACCAACAACCTTTACACTACAGCAAATATCTCACAGGCAACATAGTTTGAACTCAGTATATGAACTTTTTTATCACAGATGCACATTTCCGTGATTGATGTGGGTGAGGAGCTAGCTGCATTGGCACACATTTTGATTGTTTGTTGTGTCCCAAAGTAAACATCTCGGAAGAAGATTAGGTTGCACTTTGAAGAGGATATAAACACTGCATTGCATTTAGAAGGTACATTTCTACTCTACTGGTTATGATAATTGTGTTACTGGAGTTAGAGTTTGTACATATACCTCACAAATTTGGGCCTTTATAAAAAAAATTTGCATGTTGTAAAATAGATGTATCGAAAAACCTTTCTGTTTTCATTATCTCCTGTGGTCCAAAATGTGTTTTTTGAAAACCGAGTAACATAAGTGTCTGTTATTGTCAAATAGGTGACTTTTATTGTATTTTACTGTTAGGTTTGCCTTCAGGGAGGAAGCAATACCATCTGCTTGGTTTAGTTTTAATGTAGTCATTATTTAAAATTCATGGATGACAGGTTCAATTCTTAAAGGTATAGCGGAGGATGTTTCTGAATTTCAGGAAAGAACCGCCCTCTCCTCGTTTTGAAAAAAAAATGCTTTGCAACACTATAATAACTTAAATTAAGTGACCCTAAATTGGAGCCTGGTGCTCTCTGTGCCCACCCCAGGAAGGCTACCACTACCACCATTATGGCCTGATTCCACCCCAGAGAGGTGTAATGATTCATTAGTTACATCTTACGTAATAAACCATGAAATGTGAGATTCCATAGGAAATATGAAATCAGATTGATGTATCTTTGAATATTACTTTAAACAGAAGATCGGAACTTTTTATTGCAGGGATTAGGAAACACTTCATATTAACCCAGAGTCAAGAGAGAGAGAGAGACAAGTTTTAAAGTTTAAGAAGATTTATTTCTAAACAATTTAAAACAAGGCTAACTAACTTTAAACACTGTGTGATGAATGGATCTAGGTGTGACTAAGGCAAGATGGATGGTGTAATGTGGAATGTTGTTATCAGAACTCTCGTTTCCGGAGAAGCGTTAGATCTGTGTGGGAGCGAATGTTTGCTCTAAACTACAGTCGGAGTTTCAAAACCACATTCAGACCCTATCTTGCCGCTGTACATACCCTTGGCGGAGACCTCAGTTATAGGTCCAGATGCCAGGTCCTCGGACCCCCCCTTTGGTACCGGAGCCGATGAAACAGCGTACGGTACGACAGACTAGTCTTGGGATTGTCTCCAGGTAAGCGACAGGTGGTGACAGCGTCAGCGGGACCCTGAAGGGTCAGTGAGTTCAGCTTTACTCTGAAGGGGTGTTGCGTTCAGGTGTAGCTTGCAACAGGTTTTATTATCCAGCTTGTCGTTCGGTTCTTGTGGTCAAAAAGTTACGTGTGGCCGGCTCAAAACTCTAGGACGTTTGAACTGAACTAAGGGTGACGTGGGAATTAGTTTTAATTCAGATGTTTTGATTTGTGGTCGAATCAGAATTTGACAACAAAATAAACACCGCACAGACCACGCCACGCGTCAGAAAGGAAAGCTCTGATTGGAGAGACAAAGGAATGTGTCATGTGTTTTAACATTACTTGTGATAGAAGTGTCTAGTGCTTCTGTTTAAGATTAGATTCTTATACCAATACTACTGATTACAGTATTATGATTCAAGTTATAAACATTGTCATTTCACAGATTGATTTACATTGGGCTCACATTATTATTGGGACTAACAGACGTTAGTTAATTATTTATTAAAAAGAAGAGTAGAGTCTTCTGTCTTGGTCTTGAGCTGGAAAGGAAGTGAAACAGTTTAGAATGAGAGGCATGAGACCTTGAGATTAGGTTGTTGAGGGAGACTGTGTCTCCCCAGCTTGAGCAGAGCAGCATGACCAGCATGGTCAGAAAACAGTCATTTCATTCCGCTACAGAGGCCACCACTACTATGACTAAACATTGCTAGCTTTGCCATGTAGTGACTCTACTGAGTTTATGGCTAATAGTGATTGTGCATCATTACCTCCACAACTTCTGTTCACTCCAGAAAAATCATGTGTGACAGCTGCCCTGCTGTCACACTTCAAGTAAATAACTGTTAATGTTTATTTTATTTTGAATAAAGGTGTTTGTTTCCATGGATTGACTGTTTGGGTGACTGTATGAAGTGCACACATTCAGTTACTCATCGGTTTGAGTCTGTAGGGGTTTGTATGATTAATGTTTTCTTTAAGTTGCCAGTGGCCTTGGAGTTGGAGCAGCTGTAGCAGATCACTTGGCCTAATCAGCACCATTGGGTCATACCAACCCTCAAGGGAGAAGATTCCTGTGTTTATGTATTTAGTTATTCTCTTTTGTAAATAGTAGTTGAGTTTTGATAGTAATGTTTTCATTTGAAGTAACTCAAACATAATGGACTGATTTGTATGAATTTGTTAGGGGTAGTTTATTTATGTTCTTTGTTTACTGATGTCTCCCCACCCTAGTGTGTTGGCAGTGGTCTGATCAGCCACTATTTAAGTTGATCCTGTTGTGTCTGTAGAGAGGGTTGTTTTGTACATGTCTGTAGTCAGATCCTGAGTTTGGGTTACTTTGTTACTACGTCCATTGTTATGTAATGTCAAGTGCTGATTGGAACCCTCTCTGGAGAAAAGAAAAAAAGTAATAAATTAAGATGCCAAGAAAATCATCCGTGCTCTCCTGGCTGGTTTATGCAAGTCCCTGACATCATGTCAGCGGAAATCTTGGACATTCCTTGCTTTTGATTGCAATCAAAGCCGCGATCATTACGTTTTTTTGGAAAAGCCGCTCCT